ACTAAACTTTAACGTTTACGTACTACTAGGTAGTAGGTACGTCGTCGACTACGTAGTTATATACTACACTACTACTATATATATATATATATATATATATATATCAGCGGCAAATGAATGCCTCGTAAGCTATTCCTGATATTGTGTGGAATCACCTTGGATAAAACCTTATGACGGCTGCTATTGCTTGCTTCACGTTATATTCCCGGTTGATTGTCTAGTGAGTTAGAGCACCGTGTGTGCTGTAACATATCAGCTGCTAATCCCCCCTCTGGCGCTACTCCTGCGCTGCTCCTGGTTAATTGTCCAGGTCCTTTGTGGCGCTGTCAGTGGTGCCGTTCTTCTACGCACTGGCGATCACAATGTGGCGGTCATCAATTGCCGTGCACGAGTACAACCTCAAGATAAAATGCCAGGTGTGTGTGTATGCGTGCGCAGGAGGTACACACAGCGAGTAGGTAGAGCATACATGGGAGTGTTGTGGTAGTATTTAAATACATTCATGTCTATTATATATACCCGAACCATGCCATTCGCACTGCAAATCCCTTTGGTAGTTCCAGTCTGACTATGACATGAGTGGGAGTGTTGTGGTAGTATTGTACACAGAGCGACAGTCTTGACATAGGTAAGAGTGTTGTGCTAGTATTGTAAGGACGTAGATGGTGCGGTGCTTGAGAATGGCGTATCTCTATTGCGCTTGAGCACTTGCGTGTGCGCATAAGGAGACCCTCTAACATGCATTGACCATCTCATGTGCCTATATCACCAAAGATTGTCTGGACACTTTCCACTGCAGAGATGTGTCTCTACTCCTCACTAGCCTATCCTATATGTTTTTAACATGACTATGTATTCTGTGTTATATCTTATTAACATGCCTATGTCTTCTGTGTCATGTCATATTAACATGCCTATGTCTTCTGTGTCCTGTCTTTTTAACATGCCTATGTCTTATGTGTCATGTCTTACTAACATACCTATGTCTTCTGTCTCATGTCTTATTAATATGACTATGTCTTCTGTCTCATGTCTTACTAACATACCTATGACTTCTGTGTCATGTATTATTAACATGACTATGTCTTCTGTGTCATATCTTATTAACATGCCTATATGTCTTCTGTGTCATGTCTTATTAACAGGACTATGTCTTCTGTGTCATGTCTTACTTAACATACCTATGTCTTCTGTGTCATGTATTATTAACATGCCTATGTCTTCTGCGTCATGTCATATTAACATGACTATGTATTTTGTGTCGTGTCTTACTAACATACCTATGTCTTCTGTGTCAAGTATTATTAACATGACTAATTTTACTGTGTCATATCTTAATAACATGTCTATGTCTTCTGTGTCATGTATTGTTAACATGACCATGTCTTCTGTGTCATGTCTTACTAACACACCTGTCTTCTGTGTCATGTATTATTAACATGCATATGTCTTCTGTGTCATGGATTATTAACATGACTATGTCTTCTGCGTCATGTCATATTAACATGACTATGTCTTTTGTGTCGTGTCTTACTAACATACCTATGTCTTCTGTGTCATGTCTTATTAACATGACTATGTCTTCTGTGTCATGTCTTATTAACATGACTATGTCTTCTGTGTCATGTTTTACTAACATACCTATGTCTTCTGTGTCATGTATTATTAACATGCCTATGTCTTCTGCGTCATGTCATATTAACATGACTATGTCTTTTGTGTCGTGTCTTATTAACATGACTATGTCTTCTGTCCAATGTCTTACTAACATATCTATATCTTCTGTGTCAAGTCATATTAACACAACCATATCGCCTTCTGTGTGCTTAGCACGTATTCCACCCCACAGACTTCATCTGGACCCCTTCGACTGTGGTGACGTATCCTGGGGTGGCGTTTATGGCTGGTGTCACTGCGGGTGCGGTAGGCATAGGGGGGGCTATGGTACTAGGACCAATTCTACTGCTTATGAGCAAGGAGACTGATCCGGTAGGTGTTATGTGGATAGGGCTAAGGTGTTGTGTGGGTAGGGCTATGGTACTAGGACCAATCCTACTGCTCATGAGCAAGGAGAATGATCCGGTAGAAGTTTCACAATTCGTATGAGCATACACAGAAGGGTGCACGATGCTGGCGAGTGTGGGTGCGTTGATTCTTCTGTAGCTGCCAATAGCTCAGATACTACTGCGATGTGGGTGTGTGTGTAGTGCCGGTAGCCAATATGTGTGGGGAGATGCCGGGCAGCTTATCTATAGAAGTGTGCACATGCGTGTTGTAGTGGTGTGTATCGTTTCTTTGTCATTATAATGTTCGATGCCATGTGTGTTTGGTGGTTGTGTACGGGTTGAAACGGTTCACGGACAGATGACATATGGGCAGTGCAAGACAGCCTTGTTTGATGCGAATACGTTAACGCGTGATATCAGAATGGCCCGTATATCCTAACCTCCATTGAACCATTTTGATGGCTACCGGTCCTGTGCGAACGGGACTGAGGTGCAGGTGCATTGGTTGACTTTGGTTGTGACTGACCTTACCTCTGCTCCCCGTGTAGGTAATCACCAGTAGTATCTCTGGTTTTCTGGTGCTGTTCACCTCCTCCGCTACAACCACACAGTTCTACCTGCTGGGTACGTTGAATATGCCCTATGCCCTGTTTTTGGGTGGCTTGTGCATGGCCGCTGCACTACTTGGTAGGTGTGATGTGGTGTGTGCCTGTCTGCACGCGTGTTGCATTGGGTTTTAGGGTTTTGGAGTTTTAGGGTTAGTCGTGGTTGCCCTTGGTGTGTCTGTGAGTGATGATAGCTGCATGTTTGTTCCCAGTGAGCGTCGCTCTGTGATATACGTGTCATCGCTACGTGTATTTTGTCGCGTGTGCACACTCCTGTCTCTAGTGCCCCCCCTTCTTTTCCTCTTCGTATCCCGTGTCACTTGCCTTCCATATGTCATTCCACAAACACACACACCATTGCACCACAGATGACCGCCTACCTTCCTGCGAGAAACCTTACGCACGTATCACATGGTACATTCATATTGGTTCAGTTATACGTCGTTGGCTAGGATGACTCTCAGAGGCGTGTTGTGTGCGTGGATATACCTATCAC